CACACGTGTAAGTTTTGGGATGGTGGTCCGACAGCCACCAAAGTCTGAGAAAGAGCCTGATGCTTACCCAGCAATAAAAATCCTCCTGTAACGGAAGCTACTTGGTGTGCAAATCTATCCGTTTTAACTCTGGCAGTCACCAAAAACATTAGGATCCCTCCTCAGGGAACAACGAATAATCATGGCAAATTTCAAGTAAATGTGGCTGTACTTTGCTTTGGCAAAGTATTGCACAAACAATATTGCCAGCTTCACACCATTCAACCATCCGTGAAAAGAAACAGGCTTACTAGTGCTGCTGTTATATGCCAACTTCCATACACACACAAATCCGACCATACAGTTGACTAACTAAGGAAAAATAATCTTGTAAAGGTTTATGTATGCTCAATAATCTATAACCTCTGTTACTTGAGTGCTACACAGGCACCAACCACAAGGCCTGCTGAATTCATAACCGACTGGTCACACAAAACCGTACATAGAAATATAATAAGCTATATCTGGCTAGAGTTTGACGTTCACTGAGGTCCAACAAGTAAAGACATATAATTAAGTATGTACACTTGCACAGTGAGAAAGGAAATGTTTTCTCATCACAGCAGAGTCATAGTCCTTACAAAACAGCACTGGGCTGCAAGATAAACTTGCAGTTGAGGTGGATTTTAATGGGTCAGTGCACATTATCCGACTCCGGCACATGTGATTGTGTTTTGGTATAAACAAGAGAACAAATGTGTCTATGATAGCAAAAACGGTTTTTCTCCTGCATCTTTAAATATTGATATTTGTTGTTTACGTATTTGTTGTTTACATGTTATATATCTACATGTCATTTTTTTAAACTTTCTGGTGACAATTCAGGTTGCGAAAACCAATGGAGGGCTTATTAGCTCTCAATCCTGCTCTGTGAGAAATCAACAGGTGACTCTGCTACAGAGCTAAACAAACAATGCACTCTCATCACCTGCCCTAACAGGCACAGCTGCAACCCCTACAGTAGAAAAGAGCTTTCTGTCCTATGGTTCAATCTTCCGTTACAAAGAAAAGATATTCCCTCCCTTAAAGGGGAGGAAGGAACGTCGGGCCAAATATAAATGGAACTGTTTGCACTCAGCTGTATGGCATGTGACATATCACTGAGCCAAACAGAAAGCAACAAAACCGCCTGTGTCAAAAAGTGGGTTAAGAGTATGCCGTGTGCTAGTGTTACATGCATCTAAACTTCATCACAAACACACACGCACAAAAGCGTCGCAGCAAACACTGCGTCTCACCACAGTCAACACTACCATTATTACCACACCTTGCCTCCACATGCCCAAGGGAAGCTGCGCCTCAAATCTATGTATATTCTGTTGAATTACTACCTAAGGCAACATTCCTTCTGAATGACCACATATCTAAGTAATCAAAAAAGATGTGGGAGTAGGAGTATGAGAGAAAGATAGACAGAGATCACTTATGTGCTGTAAATACAGCTGAGGTCCACAAAAAAATCCTCAACTAATCTGTCTGGACTTGATCAGTCATGATTTTGTGCACCCATGCATGCCCAGGGCCACCACCACACTAATATTAGCAAGCATGTGAGCAAGCAACGCCATGCTTTTTACCCAGTAGTCGGATCAAACAGCATCTCATTATAGAGCTGTTTCATTCCAGTAGCTTCTTTGGTTACTCTGTGTAAATTAAGTCTGTTTTTGAAGTGCCATTATTTCTGAGGTAAAAACACACCTACACACACACACACACACACACACACACACACACACACACACAGTCTTCACATGGCCAATGTGAGTCATGTTTTCCCTTACTTGGGACACTTCCTCCCCTACAATCGTCACATTGAAACAACACACAGTGTTCCTACAACTTAGGTCAGATGACTCGATGTTATGTCATCCCAATGCTATCTCAGCTTGAGTCAACTGCTTGGCATTAAGGTGGCCAGCAGCCACCCAGGGACCTGCCACTCTGTTAGTGCTAACATCATCTTCTATCGTCCGACTCCCTGAAATCTCTGCTTCGAGCACAGTAGTCGTCTTAGACTCCGCTCAGCACCGTCATGACTACCGCTGGCTTTTCGAAGCTCAGCACTTCTGAGAAATGACTGAATGTTCCCACAGAATAGAGTATCAAAAACGGACAAAAGTTGGCACTGATCGATTCATAGTCTTGTTTACTTATTTGATCACATATTTCTTGATGTAAATCAGAACTTTTTATGTGCAAAGTTTTTGTACGGCTGCTTTTGTTAAGACAGCTTTAGTGCTAAGTAGAAGAATAGTTTGGTATGTTTGATCATTTAAAAAATTGTTTTGATGTCAGTGCCAAAACTCAGGTTCTTAGTTCAGTTGTTGGCTCCAGTATTGAACATTTTCAAATGAAACATACTTCTTAAAATGGTTTCTCTCACACACACATTCCTGCGCACAAAAACTAATAACACATGATGCCACACAAAGACCCTGCTGGATATTTAAACTGTCAGAGCTCCTCTCTTATATGAAACCATACTTGGACTGTAGAAGTAGACTGTTTACAAAACTACCTCAAATAGCCTATTTTTACAAGCCCATTTACACTAGTAACTACTTACCTACTTGATTACAGGCTATCAAATGATACATTGTCTCACCAGCAGTCTTGTTCACAAGATTAAATTATTTTTTAAGTCATGAATTTGATGGAGACCGTATCCATCAGAAAGCAAATACTGTTTGTGGAAAAAGTGTTGCAACAGCGTTTCTCAGAAGTCGTCGCAAACCAACCAAGAGTTTCAAAAAAAGGTTTGGGGGTTATGTAGAGACTTATGGCACGAGCGGTAGCAGCGCTTCACTTAGATCAGTACACACAGGAGACCTGGTCTTAATTGTAAAATGTGTTGTATTTTATAACAACTGTAATAAAAGTAATTCTGCAATAATTCTTGTTCAACTACTTTATATTTTTGGCAAAACGCATGACATGGAATCTAATACTCTGTCAAGGCTACCAATAACACACACACACACACACACGCGCACACACACACACATACACACTCACACACACACACACACACACACACAGCTCGGGTGATTCAGGAAGCAGGGCATATTTTTTCCATACAAAAGTAGAAGGTCCTAAGAGCTGTAGAGGGACTTCCTTTTGCCGAAGGGCCAAATTCCACATGGTCCATGACCGTTAACCCACTCAGACTGACTCAGACCCCCCACCTCCTCAACACTCAACATAGTTCTTGGGAAAGCCTCGACTTCACAATCAGCTGTTAGGTCTTTTCCCTTGGCGGGCGACTTCTAGAAACTTCTGACGAGGATGTGTGTTGCTTGTCAACATCTCAATCTCTCTCACTTTCACGACATCCGATATGCCAGCCGGCGGCAAGAAAAGCACGAGAGGAAATCAACTGTGGGTCACACCGAATACACAAAAGGGGATGTTTTAAACAAATGACGGTATACACTGGTACTTTTTACTGTTTACCTCCCAGATGAAATTTATTGCAAGAGCCCAATGCAGAGAGCTTGATGATATCTTACTGTGTTGAATTCACTCACCTGGCAGAAATAATGTGATTCAGGTCATTCAAGAGTGGGCTTTTGAGTTAGTTGAACATTTGTTGTGGATGTCCATTCATTAGCATGAAAAAACATCTAAATACAATGATAAATCATACTCTGCTTGGTCTATATGTGTTACTTTAAGAACAGATATCAAGGATGATCTTGTGTTACATATTCAGCTACTTCAGGTCAGTAGGGTAAAGCAAAAATCTGTGCCAGAGTAATCCGATCCCTTTTTACTTGGTATGCAGTTAATGAGCTTTTTGAACCCTCATTAGACCCAACTCCCCACCAACACCCACATACACACACATTTCACCCCCACTCTAAAACGTGTGCCAGCCCACTATTGTCTGACAGTGTGGAGACATGCAGCTGCCTGCAGTCTGGTCAGTAACACACTGACACGAGGGGGAAACACACAAGGCAGAGGGCAAAGTTTGTCATCTCTCTCATATAGCGTTGTATGTGTGTGTGTGTGCGTGTGTGTGTGTGTGTGTGTGGTGGGGGGGGGGGGCTTTCCAGGGCTCTTGGTTAAATTACTGTTATGAAAGCCTGGAAGGTCAAAGCAAGGCAGGCTAAGTCTGCAGTGTGCTGGAAGTGAAGTTTTAATCTCTAATAATATTAACATGAGTGTACTAGTTTGCCTTCAGTGACTGGAAGAGCTTCCAATGAGGTGAACCAGCAGCTTGCCTTGGTGAAAGTCTACTTCTGAACATAAAAGTTAATCATCTTTCAATGGACATTTTGTGCTGCTGTTGTTTATTCTACTGCCATTCAACTCTGACAGATGTTCTCTGTCTAGTTCACATATTTCTAATGACATTTGGAACAGCTTGGTGGCTCTAAAAAAAAATTAATTTAGAAGCACTTTTTCTCTCTCTGAGGGCATCAGTACTCAAATGATATTCTTACAGGGACGAATGTGAGTTGGGTGCAACTTTTCTCTGCCCTCTGCCAGAGCTTTAACACTTCTACTCTAAACTCTCTCTGGCTCGGTAGGCCATTCATGACTAAATCTTAACATGGGCTCTAAATCCGCTACTTTGCTTTGCAGCAAGTCAACGAAAACAGGGCAACTCGGGAGCTCCACAGACCCACTCTGCTTTCTCCTCTGACTAGCCGCTATGAACTGCAAAGTGGAAGTGGAGCTCTTACTGCCGAGTTAAAGTGACAGCCGTCCTTCCTCGTTTAAATCACTAAATAAGCCTCGCCACCTCTCCCTAACATCTTCTACAACCCGTCGGTGAATAGTTGGAGGCCTCAGTAAAGTAGCGAAGAAAGCAGACCCCGGTATCCGCTCACGGGGCTCCCGTGTCTGGGCTCCCGTGTCTGGCCTCTCCCCCCCCTCCCGTTCTTTCGCCGTTGTTTTCGGGGAAGCAAATCACAGCCAGGGCTTCATGCAGGGAAAGGGTGCACGCTACTGACCTGAATAAACTGGATAGTCAGGGCTGATTTCCCGACACCTCCGCCTCCGACCACAACCAGCCGATACTTCTCCTGCACCGAGCCGTCCTTCCAGCCTGCCATCGGGGACACTTCGCTGAGCTCGCCGCCGCCGCCGCCGCTGCTGCCGGAACACCAGTGAGCAGCAAACACCCACTTTTTTTCCCCCTCTACAGTAAACTGAAGAGGCCCTGCAGTGTGAGAGACCGGAGCGTAGAAAGGAGCCCCAGATATGTGCTCCAAAAAAAATAAATAAAAAATGACTCGTCGACGTAGTCCGCTTAGTGCACGGATAGACGGAGAGAGATCTGCGGACCTACGGGCGCCTGTCCACACGCCTGACCGTGTTTCTGCCCAGACACTGCGATGTTCGCACTGTGGAGCCGATAGTAGGAGTGATCAACCAGACCAGTACTAATGTCTGGCGCTAGAGGCCCTTCTACTTTCTACAGGCTGTGTGTGACTGCCTCAACACCCCACCTACAGTACACACACACACGCCGGCGGAACCCACCCTGCAGCCCTCCTGTCCTGTGACTGATAGCATACTCCCCTGCAGTCACATGCCTGTCCTCCAACACAGCCACACACGTAACAGCAATGCCCGTCCAGCCGACTGTAAGTGCAACCAATTACGGTAAAGTTGCCCTGCAGCTATCATCATGCAAACAGGTAGTAGGCTAATATAAACTTAATTTTCACTATACTGTAAACCAAGAATTCACGTGTGTACTGTGGACTACTTCTAGTGTCGCTTACACACAAATGCAAACCAAAGCAGGAGCATATCATACAAACCATTAGCCTTGCATTATCAAAACTCTGGTCCCATCATGCTGTAAACTGAGACACTTTTTAGAATGCAGATACTAGGTTAATAAAAATAGGTAAATTATGCAATAAAAGTATAACTGCACGACATGCCTTGTAAAAAAATCTAAATTACAAGTCCCCTTCATAAAGATATGAGGCTTTATTTTAATAATCTACAGGAGCTCGACATGTTGACGTTTATATTGCACTTTGTGTCATGATCATTTATCACAATTGGTGAAAGTAAAAATGGAGTCGGATTTTTCTGTCACTGAAAAGTGTCATTGCCCCTGAAGTGCTTAAGTCAGTTTATCTGAAATGGCTTTACTTCAGTAAAAGCATGACTTGTATTATGTCAACATGTCAATTATGTCATGTTGTGACAGATCCTACTACAGGATTACACTGTGCAAAATACCAACAGTGTCTGCTTTGACACATTTGGCGCCATCTAGTGTCACTTATGTGTGCTTAAAGCACTGAGCTTGTTGACAGATTAGAAAGCTTTGCTGCAGCAGTTCTTGTAATAAAAATGCAGAATAGACGTTTATAAAACACAACAGTCAACCTGCAAGTGTCTAATAGAAATACAATATTACACAGATACCGTAGGAGGAAAAGCATAAGTTGTTTTGACACTGGCCTTGATCTAAAATAAAGCCACCATACATTACATTACAATCATTTAGCAGACACTTTTATCCAAAGCAACTTACAATTCAGTATCTATCTATTCACCGTAGGCACAGCTACTGGAGCAATTTGGGGTTAAGTGTCTTGCTCAAGGACACATTGACATGCGACTAGTGGAGCCGGGGATCGAACCGCCGATCCTTTGATTGCAGGACGGCCCTGCTCTCAACTTAGCCACAGACACCATACGGATACATATAAAAAATATGAGGAACTAAAGAATGTAACTTTAATCTATGTTGAGAAGAGTACTGTCTGCCAACAACAATTACGAATCATCACAAAAACACAGGGCGCTAAATCTTAGGTTATGGAGTTTAGTTTCATTATGAGTAACATCAACCCTAAATCCAAAAAGGCTGCACGATGCACGCAGTAGCTTGGCTGCGACAGTGCTGCCCCATTGCCAACTATTTAGTTTTAGAGATGAAGTTCTGACCTTAAAGCCACCTTTTATCTAACCCCCTGGAGAGAAAGATTTTACAGATATTGTAAATGTGTGAGCAGGGTTGACCCTTTAATCTGGCACATTCCCAGAGATGTCCCTTTACTTATAAACAGGAGGGCAAGTGCAATATGTAACTCTCTGCCACCACTAATCCATCTCCACCTCATTATCAGTGTAAACCCTGCAGAGGGCTTTGAGTGTACCTGTGAAATCACTGCAATACATTATCCTCCGTTAAAATAAATGCATGCATATGGATGTATATCTTCTATGATATAGTCTTCATGATGTTATTGTCAATTTTGATTTCACACGAGGCATCTGAGGAGCAGTGAGGCTGGACACAGCAAGAGCTGCAGGCTGGACTCCCTTCACTCTGGGACACAAGCTCCTTTGAGTGACAATATTCTTTGAAGTCACTCACCAAACATTTACCATCATGCCTCATGTACAGCCAAACATTACGGGAGAAAGCCCCCGAACAGTAGATAGAATCACAGAGTATTCATCCAAACTTCCTTTGAAACGTTCAATTTGTTCATGTTGAAAAGGCCTGAAACACCGTCTCATTTACTACATCTACATATGACCCAATGAATAAAGCATGGAGCAAAGTTCTGTCACTTTTAATACATTTGTTTATTGAAAATTAAACAGGACAGGGAAAGAAAATTACTGAAATGACAGCAGTGAGGTTAGAAAAAAAAAAAAAGAAACAGCACAGAAGCAACTAACCATGTAGAGTTGTTAATTATCTGTGATGAAAAGATGGATGATAGAAGAGTAGAGCAGGTGACTTTTACAGCTGGACCAGAGTCGTCTCAGACATTTGACTTTTTTTGGGAGAGGTTGATCTTGTCACCGAGACTCAAGGCCATCCCCTGTGAAATGAAGGAGGGAGGATTTATTGTAGCAGATTGTATACTTACTGATAAGAGCAAACAGCTTTCAGTGCAACATCACCTGTAACAGCTTATTTCATACATTCACTCTCCTTATCCTTTCTTTCAATGAGTTATTAGATTGAATGTTATACTTGGTGCATTACTCAAGTTGAGAGCCAAAAAAAAAAAAAAAAAAAAAAAAACGACTTCAGAGATGAGTACGCGTTCATGGTGCAGCAGCTGTGACCCACCTGACTTTTGGCTCGAATGCGTATGTGTCCGTTGACAGGAGCATCAGGCCCCAGGTGGATGGGCTTCTCGATGCTGACATTAGCCAGGGCATCTTCTCCGAAGATAGAACGAGCATAAAGGTTGGCAGCCATGAAGCCGCAGAAGCCCGACAGTGCCTGGTTTACAAGACAAAAAGAAGAGAGTTGAGAATAGTGTAAAACAACAGCATAGGATCGACACAATTCATCTAATATGATGGGCATGGCGATACAATACTGACAAAGGCCACTTATGATTCTTCTCAACATGCACCAGCACCATTTATCTTTAAAACCACCATTGCCTTTCTTTGCTGTATGCGACATCTCATACCAACCTTCTCAGGAGTCAGACACTTCATGTTGGTGGACTTGAGGATATGCTGAAGGTACTCGTTCAGGTCAGTGATGTTGGTGTTCACTGTTACCTACGACACAGAAAGACTTCTTAGAGACAATCTTCTACATTCACGCGTTTTCATTTAAAGTAAAACTAGAGAACAACGAACCTTGTAAAAAATATCTGATTTAAGATGCAAAACAAATATTTTTGTGAAGCCAGTTTGTTTCTGGGAACTGGCCACAAAGTAGAAATGCAATGCTTGTGTGGAATGCAAACGCTTACCTTGTTTTCCCACTCAAACTCTGCCCACATCTGTCTGAATTCTGCATCGGTGCAGGAAGCTGGCTGGATGTAGTCCATGATGTCAATGTGGATGTCACTGAGGACGACGCAGTTTCTGTCGCTAGCAGCTCCCGACACATCGTAGACTGGAAAGACAGAATCAAACATCCCCAACAAATAAGAAAACATTCTGTGCCTACAGGCAGCAAAACAAACACAAGTTGAATTGTGAAGGTAAACAGACACAAAATGATCGTCTTACCAATGTTGCCAAATATAATGCCATTCTCCGTAGAAGCCACCTTGACATTGGCCTTGATGTTAGCAAAATCGTGAGGAGCCAGAGTTAGAGGTGAAGGCTTCTCAACCAACTTGAGGTCCCCTGTGGGATGGAGACATTTAGTGAAATACATACACAGCGCTATGTAGCAACACAATGGGATTGGCTTGGATAAGCATTAATAGAGAAGAGAACCTGTACATTTGTGGAGTGAGGTGGACAATAAACCAGACTAACCTAAAGTGGCCAGCTCAAGAGTGCAATTCTGGAGAGTATCATTGGTTTGGTTGACCACCAGCACGTCCAACACGATGTCATACTGGTTGACATGAACATAGGCTTCAGCATACACCGGGTCTGAGAAGCCCGTCAGCTGGGTCACCTAGAAAGGACAAAAATGAATTACATTTAATTATATTATAACTAAATAATATTTCCTCACAGTATTAAGATGTTTTTTTTTGGCGATTTCCTTTCTACAAAGGAGTAGTGCTGTTCTCAATGTCATTTCCATCTCTCTGGCGGGGCTTGTGGTGTACCTTGTTGAGTTTTGAAGCGAGGGGATCAGCAGCCTCCTTCCTCTGAGTGTTGCCCATAGCAGCCAGCAGACTGAGCTGGAACTGGTCGTCCTTAGATGTCATCTCGTTTTTGGCTGTCAGCTGCATGAAGGAGATTGGGTCGTCTGCCTGCACTGTGACGTTGCGCTTCTCAGACTCTTTCTGTGGTCACAATAAGAAACGTATGTGGTTATTTTTTGGTGGCTTATCCGGCCTACGAGTAGCTCACAACAGAGTTCAAACACCATACATACCTTAAAAACCAAAAAGGTAACAGCAAGAAATCAAATGAAATCAAATAAAATCAAGTAACATTTTGTGCAGAATGAAGACAAATATTACAGTGACAGTGTTTTTGTGAAGAGCAACCAGGGCCCTCATGCATTATTGTTGCATAGTGAGGCCATACATTCTTAAAAACAAAACGTATTCCACCTACACACAGTTATCACATGTTCTACACACTTTCAATAGTGATAAATGAAGTCTGGGTCCAAACTATGCAATCAACACACAACATGTGTTCA